CCCCCCCCCCCCCCCCGCCCCCCCCCCCCCCCCCCCCCCCCCCCCCCGCGCGCGCGCGTGCGTGCGTGCGTGCATGCATGCATGTATGTATGTATGTATGTATGTATGTATGTATGTATGTATGTATGCATACACGCATTCATGCGTGCTAGGTTTGGAACCAAGGACCTTGCCCACAGTAGCAAATGTTCTACCTTGAGCTATGTCCGTATGAAACACTTGGTCGCTACTCCTGTCACCATAGAGGTCACCAGGGTCAAGGCTGGTGTGTCTTCAGTCTGTGCATCCCTTCTGGTGCTACTCTCAGCTCAGAGGCCTGTCCTCAGTCAAGGATGTTGGAGCAGCTACACTCCCCTTCTAGAACAGGGCCCAGGCTTGTTGGTTTAGTCTGTGGCCACACTATCTGATAGGCCGTGGCAGGATTTTAGCTGTAAGTTCAAGTTGAAGAACCTGTCTATATCTCAGAACAGCAGCAGGTGATCTGGGTGTGTAGCTTAGTTGGTAGAAGGCTTGTCTACCACGCAGGAAGCCCTGGGTTTGTTGCGAATTGAGTTCCAGGGGTATGTAGTAAAACACTCAGAGGCATGCAACCCATGGATCTGTGCAGGGAGCCCTGTGAACCTAGAGTTTGTTGCCTGGTTTCTGCTCCAAGAAGCCCCAGATGTGCTAATCCTGTGGTTATGCAGTGCAGGCTGAGAATCCTGGGTGTGGAGCTGGCTCGAGTAGATTCCACAGAGAGATGAGCAACAGTGTGAGGAATTGCTTGGGCTGTGCCTGCAAGAAGGGCTCTCCCCATGGTCCAGAGAGGCCCAGCCAGAGGGAGCAGGCATCTGGTGCTTGCTGTCACTCCAGGGGCCAAAAGGAATGGCCCTAGCTTGCCTAAGGATAAAGACATCTGGGCTCTATGTGTGGACCTTGGAGGGAGGCTAGCACATGTGTGTGTGTGTGTGGGGGGGGGTAGAGATGAAAGAAGAAAGTGCAGGAATGTTGAGTATGGCAGTGCACACCCCCAGCTGGGGTTGAGTGGGTTGCACCCATGCAGGAAGTACTGTAGGCAAGCTCTGGGGGTGCTGCCAGCCTGGGCCTGAGACTACCCTCCTGTTTGAATCCCTGTGCTCTCTAGAGGCTCCTCCCCCACTGATTCCCAGCAGGCACTTCGGGAAGGACCCAGAGGGGCAGCCACCAGACTTTGCCTCTTGGAGGGCCACCATCCAACCTGCCTATAAACCTGGAAAGTCCCACTCAACTCAGGTCAGTTTACTGTTTGACATTTAGGGCCCTGTCCCAAAGAATGACTGCTGTGCCCAGGAGTCTGAGCCAGCTCTAAAGAGCTACAAACAGATGGCCCTCAGCCCAGCCTCCTGCAGGAGTTTCCTCAGTTCCTCAACATCCTACTCTTACAGCTGGGTCCCGCTTGTGTGTCTCTTTTCTCTATTAAGTAACACCTCCCTGGTTGTCTCCTGAGTCCCCAGAAAATTCTTTCTTGCCAGAAAGAGAAGCCATAAGCCAGGTGTGATAGGGCATGCCTATAATCCCTGTAGGTTCCAGGCCAGTCTGGGCTACATAGTGAGAGCCAGCAGGAGAGAAGCTGGGGCTCAGTGGGTAGAACATTCACCCAGTTTATAAGGAAGCTCTGGGATCTGCCCCCAACTCCACATAACCCCTGTGTAGGAGCTCACACTTGTCATCTGGAGTTGGAGGCAGGAGGATCAAGGAGTTCAGCTGCATAGTATGTTTGAAGCCAGCTTGGACTACATGAGACCCTATCTCAAAGAAGATAAAAGAATCCTCAGCCCACATTGTCTCAAATCAGAAATGACTGGTTATGGAAAGATGTTCAGGGGTGCTGAGGCAAGGTATGGATGGAGCTGGAAGCCAGGATGGGCAACTGGACTGTGGCTCCGGTTCCACTGGTTTGAGCTTCACAGGTCCCCAGCTCATCACCCAGCCAAGCCTGCAGGTACATGTAAATGTGTAAAATGAGCTTGGGTGTTGAAGGAAGTTGGGGGTTTCACTTCCTATGGGGAAGTGGAGAGATGGTGGCTCTGCTCTTAGCTGTGATCCCCACCGTCTCCTCACCCTGGTGTGTGTGGAGGACTGAGGGTTCTGAGGAAGTCAGGGTATCAGATAGAAGTGGCCTGTGGCTCAGAAGTTTGTTTGGTGTCTTCACTGTTAGCCTGAGCTGGCTGGTTTCCTGGTCATTCTGTGACAACCCCCCACCCCCACAACCTCTTTTTTGCCTGAGAGAAAGGGAGGTTTGAAAAGAAAGATTGGTTGATCTGACCTTGGAAGAAAATTGCCAACTGTTTGACTGGAGTGCCAGGCAAGTGCTTGGTGGGCCCTGCCCCCCACACACACACACACACACACACACACACACACACACACACGCAGACTTGGGACTCTGTGGGTTTGGGGATGTAACTATTGTCTGCCTGTCTGTCGTCTGTCTGTCTGTTCCCTCCCTCCCTTCCTCCTTCTCCCACTCCTCTCTCACACATTCTGTAGAGGGAGGTAGAACCCAAGGCCTGTAGATGACACCCCAGCCCTGGCTATGACTTCCTCCACATGAGGCCACGTTGATTGTGTGAGCTGAAAGTCCACCTGAGTCAGAGCCCTGGGCTCTCAATGCAGCACCCCAGCTAATCGTTTACCATGGTGTGCTAGGCCAGACCATGGAGCAGCTCCATCTCTGGACATTACAGCAGGCCACTGTGACAGGAAAATGGGGACTGTCACATCTGGTTTATAAGCCCCATCACCATCATTCCTTTAGGGACATGGTGTCTGAGTGTTCCATGTCCCACCTCACTTGTTAGTACCCATTCCCTTCTCCCTGTTCTTCAGCCTGGGCCCTTCCAGAGAGGCAGGCCCCTGCTACGTGTGAGTGCCTGCAGAGCATGTACATGTATCTGTGTGTGTGCATATATGTCCATTCCCCTCCACCAAGCACAGCCTTTGATCGGGAGACCCAGGAAACAGCTGTACCCTCTCTGCCCCTCCACAACTCATTTCCCTTGTAGGATTTGAGATGCCACAGCAGGCAGCTGTGGGGGGAGTGGAACCAGGCCCAGGTTTGGCTCTCTGCTTGGCACCCCATGCTCCAACCCAGGGCTTGCTTGCTTGCTTATTTATTTATTTATTTATTTATTTATTTATTTATTGTGGGGAAGGATCAACCTCAGGTGTTATTCCTGCTGTACAATCTACCACTGGGACCTGGGACTCACCACTAAGACTAGCCTGGCTAGCCAAGAGTCCCCATGTCCAGCAGCAGTGAAATTGCCTGTCTCCACCACACCCATGTTTTCATGTGCGAGCTGAGATTCCATGTGGCAGGCACTGTACCAACTGAGCCGTCTCATTCCCTATTTACTTACTTTTATTCTTCTGAATTTTTGTTTGTTTGTGGGATGGGGGTCTCATTCAAACCCCATGCTGGGATCATGGGTGTGTAGCTATATAATGGCTGAATCTCTGCT